ACCACCCGTGACTAATGGGCCACGTGTGGATCCCATCGGATCCTAATTCCAGAGGCCCGCAAGGAAAGTGACTCAGCAGGATTGTAGAGGGGCCGAAGCACCACCATTGTGCTGGAACAAAACAGGGAAGTGAGGATTGTCAGAGCGCTATTCAAGTCGTCATTGGGTCCGACATGCAGAGCCATATGGTGCGCATCGGCTTTCGTGGGATGTGCAGGTGTACTACCTACGATGGAGCGTATCTGTCACCTCAGCGCCCTGTATTAAGCCTCTGAAGCACACTGTGGGATCGTGAGAACCCGCTGCGAGCGCGGAATATGGTGGGAAAACGGCCAGACCAGTGAGGCGTTTGTCTAGGTCGCTCTATTTGTAAATTCTGATCAGCTTAAAGACACCAGAGGTATCAACATGATCAGCTGACAAATTGCAATATGTCTAACGTTTCCCCAGATGAATTGGAGCTTTTTTCCAGAAGATGTTTGCAAAAAATATCTGCTCAATCCAGGCCCTAGGGACCAAGATAGAGCAGTTTTTATCAATTTCTGATATTCGCAATGAAGTGATTGAGAGAACTCCACAGGGATTTGGATGGGGGACCTGTTCCATCATGTAATGGGATAAGTCTATAAACAGCTGGTCAAGTTTGGTGCGATTTGGCCCTTTAACGAGGAAGTTACGAGGATTAGGGAGATCTCAAGGGCTGGGTGCATGCGGAGCATGTACCACTCGCATGGGCGATTGGAGAACGCGTGAATCAAACCAGGTGGAAGTGCGCCGGCCTCGCCAACCCCAAGATGTTGACGGGGAGCAGCTCGGTACCGTCCTTGGCTGCCAAAGCGGCTGCTAGGAGGAATCGCAAAGGCCTGCCTGGCCTCAGCAGCCTGGGTTGAAGACCTCAACGCCAAGATCGTGAACTTGAAGACGATCACGATGCGCAGACATCGTCTCTTAGGCGGAATATGAATACGTTGTAAGGCATGGGGTGAATATGTGGGACGATGTGTGGATTGCCGCCAAGCGCATGCATGATGCATGCTTGACTGAATGGGCGAAAGTTGAGGCGAGAGACGATGCCATTGAGGTCGCGGCTGAGACGCTCAAAAAGCGACTGGGCAATCGTTTGTTGGGATGGAAGACGTTCAAGACGATGACATTAAGCTTGCAGCAAGTCAAGCCAAATACATGGCTGCAGAAATGCTGGAATCTGTCGTGAAAGGTTTCGAAGCCACCCTGATGCAATCGGCAAGGGGTTCTGCCACACAGAGTCCATCAGCTCCGGAAAGAGCAGTGGTGCTGGCTCGTGAAAAGAAAATCAAGTTTGAAGATGAAGTCACCAAGGAGCATTTTCGAAATCGAAAGGATGTGTGCATCAAGGACTCTTTGGAGAAGTTCATTTCTTCGGGCGCAGTCAACAAAAGACTCAAGCAATTGAAAGACCTTGATGTTGGCTGTGAGGGTGAGAAGGATGGCGTGGAAGGCATTCAGGCCCAAGAGGACCAATTCAAACGGGAGCTGGTGGTCGAGAAATGGGAGCATGAGAACACAGCCAGATTGGCTGTGCGAGATTGGCTTCAAGGTGGCTTTGAGCCGCAAGTGGACGAAAGCATACCCCTTCTGGAGCTGCCTTGAGGTGTGCAAGGGCGGGTGCCACGGGGTTGGGTCTGGTGATAGGGCTGCATAACATTGTGACGTTTGTTGAGTCACATGTATATTCGTAAGGATTCATTTATTGAATATAATTTATATAATGATATAATAGTAGCATGACGTGAGCTTGGCGACATAACATGAAGAAACATCGTCAGATTAGGATATAAGAGAACGACAACATGGTGATTGAAAAGACAGTTCAAAGAATCATTGGACTCGGATTCTGAGACATTTCAGATGGTTGGGTTGCGATGCTGCTATGGGAATGCCCACTGTATCGTGCGGGGCTGCGGCATCGGTCGAATCGCTTGAGAAACAGTGCCATGGAGCACGACTTGGCCAGAAGGAGTGTGGCAGAGTGCAAGAACGGGCGCGAGCTGCGATGTTTTGAAATTGCAAACCGTGCATATCGAGAAGTAGACCTGGCTGCGCGGATTCGACTGAGTTCCCTGAGGTTCAATCGCATGGTGGCGATGGGCGGTGGCACCATATGCGAGGATTCAGATCTGGAATGGCTGGAATCCGTTCGCAAGTCATTGGTGATGATTGTGGCCGTTTGGAGCACTTTACTGACGAGGTCTTGAAGCTGGCACATGCACCGACAGACGAACTATGCAAGATCTGCCCATTGGGGCTGGATCAGGACGTATATTCTGGCTATATGAGGGCATGCCATCAAAATATGATCAAATGTGTGGGGGACAACCTGGGGCGAGTGGGCGAAGCTGCCTACATCTCCCTGTCAAGAAGTTGGGCACGCCTTGGTTTGGGAGGGCTGAGATAAGGATGATGTAAGGGATAACAAATGGCGATGAGCAATATGAACAATCAGTTAGTAATGGTGCTGGCTATAAAAAAATCGTTAGGTGATGATTTGCAAATATGAGATGTACTGCATTACAAGAGTTCATTGGCGATAGCCTGGAAACACGTATGGTAGATGTTCGGAAGATTTGAAGTGACATGGAGTGAACTGATGGATGTTTTCAACGAGGTCCAACCTTGGACACGTTGGTTATTTGAAGCACGGTGGCTTTTTGGGAGCCGCCTCAATCGAGGTTGGCAGGAACGCATGGTTGCTGGTGTGTGGACCAAAAAGTAGTGTTGAACAGCTGTAACAACTCTTTGGCTGCGAGTTTCAGTGAGCAAAAGACCCAAGGGATCCTCCCAAAGGGTCGAGGCAAGTCGTTTGGCCTGGATGCGATCTAGTCTTTCTGCCAATTTTTTATCGTTGATCAAGCGGCGATGTTCGTTGTGGTGCCCATCGCCGGCTTGGCTGCACAAATCGTTGCATTCGCTGTGAGGGCCGTGCTCCAAAACGTCTTGGTGGCCAGCCGATCGATGCGGAATCGTGAGTACCGATTGCAGAAATACTCTGCGGCTCTCTACTCGTTGAGCCAAGGGTGTGAAGGGCGCACTCCAGGTGGTCTGACATGACGTCAGAACCGCCTTATCAAGAGGAAGAAAACATCAGTGTCCAATGAACGTTCGATGTCCTGGCGGGGGAGCCCTAAGCATCAAGGGAGAAAATGTCATGAAGGAGAGGACATGCATGGGATGGCATGAAATTAGTCGCTCTGGCTTTTCCGTGAAGACCACTCCTTGTTTCGGTCACCCCAAGCCACAAACCACAGACCCACTGATCGGCGCCGGCCTTGTCAACGGAAGAAGAAGGGATCCTCACGGGAAAATACAGAGGGACTAATGCAGTCTTGCATGAGATCGTGGCTCGTTGCTGGTGTTGACGAAGCCAGGCAGGCTCGAGGGGTGGCGAACCCTGACTGGGGACCGTGGGCTCGAGTAAATGGCAACGGTTTGCAGCGGAGTAAAGGAACAACAGGAATTCTGCCACTCATATCGAGTCCGTTCATCAGTGTCCTTAATTCAGTCCCTATTGTCTCATCACCCCTACATGCGTCCAGCTATTAATTACTTCAAGTATACTCAATCAGTTCTGGCTATAAACACAACTAAATCAGTTATTTCGCTAGGCAAACGTCACTCAACTGTTTTGCACCTCACCAAGGGCGCCACAGCCAATCTGCTGCCAATTGGTAGTGGCGGTGGGTTGGGGGTGGGGGGTCGTCGCTGTTATCCGATTCAGAATACAGCTGTTTTAGGCCGCCATTTGAGCTCAAGGTACGCAGCACACTGGGCGCAGTATCCCTTGATCGCCTGCCGCTTGCTGGGCATTGCAAGCTGTTGCCTTTTTCTCATGCACCCAAGGGATGGATGCCGATCGCATCCCGTCCTGATTCTGGGCATCACGATTCCCTGGCGTACGGGTGCGTAGGGAGGCGTTTGGGGGGCGAGGGTGGGTGGTGGGCGGGGGCGCACAGCTGATGATATCTGCCAATGCAGCAATGAGTTCATTGACGGGCGAGGCCACTACCTGTCCTGGTAGAGGGCTTCAGGAGGTGCCCTCACCAGCGCGACACAGCTGTCTCGCTGTGTGCTCTCACTCATCGTAGCGCCGTTGCTTGCGCAATCCTGTCAGTGCACATGTGACGGAAACTGGGAAAAGTTCCAGCAGCACAACTAGAAGAGGGCAGCCTCTGTGGGTGGGCCATGGGCGCACTTACGACTTGAAACACTTGTAATGGCATGGGGGCAGCGGCCCCAGGGAGCCGTGTACCGACCCCTCCATGCAACCGTGCATTGGAAAACTCCGAACAACACTCCGACGGGCACAAACCGAAAAGCTCAGTTCCCCCCAACCAGTTCCCACACTTCCTCCCACCTCTGCACTTGCGTAGCACGCTGCCTGCCCCAAACCAGTTCCCCAGAGTCTGAGCAAGACAGACAAGGCACGAGCTGTCTTATTCATCTCTTTATTGGCCGTGGGGCTATGCCGCCATGGCGCACTCTCCAGTGCCAGCCTCCATCTTTGTCGCTCGACGCAATCAAAGCGACCACTCACGTTTATGCCTCCCATCTGCATTGAGCCAAACCCCAACGCTGCAATCCGCACACCATCCACCTCTCAAACCCCGACACTCCCACCAAACCGCCTCCAGAAAACCAAAAAAGAGGAAGTTCTGTAGTTCAATTCGATTATGTATATTAGAATGATGGAATCCTGCTGGCGTCCTCCCTTGTATCTGCCACGAGCAAACTCCTGGGTAACCCTACTAACAAAGTGCTCCAGTGTCTCGGCCAAATAATTGGCCCATCATCTATACTACGGAAAAATAACATTAACTTATTTGGAGCAACCGTGCTCACCTACTTCTTGCTAAATAAATGTCCAGTTCTCCAGCATCCCACTATATAAATTCCCGCACTTCACCACTGCTTCTCAACTGTCAAACTGCTCAAATCCAACGGCGTCCCACACTCCCCACTAAACCTCACAAATTGGATATTCTCCTCCTCAACTCCTTCGCCTGCCGGCCATGCAATCCCTGCCGCGCCTCAAGCCTCTCCAACTTCGGCACAAGCTCCTGCAATGACATCTTGGCAGAGTGGCACTTTTCCAGCCGCTGCTCAAAACTCAAATCCACACCCAGGCTGCCAAGATTCGAGCACGTTGTCTCATGGATGACAGGTCCGAAACTTCTCAGCAGCGTAGAGAGCGTCGCCAGTGCTGTCTCCCTGTATCTCTGATGCTGGCTGAGCACCAACTCGTCAATGGAGGGCGTGACCTCAGGAATGAGCTCCAGTGTGAACGCTCCGTTCTTGGGACCGACGGCATCGAGGAAGTCAGTCACCACCGAAGGATCTCCACACCTGCAACCCCAAAATACGATCAAACATTAGCAAGACAGGATATTACCAAGAACAGGGCATGGCAACAACAGCAGCGGAAGCCTGTCGATGTCAGGAGGGTTGCGAGCGCAAGCACAATTGGGCAACAGCTGCAGCAGACAGCACAAGCAGTCTTCACTCAACAAGGGTACCTGCCATTGGTGGCCAAGCAAGTGCTCTATGGTCAACATTGAATTCAGCGCTCCTTGGCTTATTCTGAAACAACAGCTTCATGTTCCTCCCTTACCTTCGAGCCGCCCGAAGCGCACCCCTCACGTCCCCACGCGTCCAGAAACTCCTCAGCAGCTGCAGGTTCGAATGCCTGGACGCCAGAATCTGCTGCATCTTCCCCCGCTTTGACATGACCTCAGACACTAGCTCAATGTCCGATTTGCCATCCGCCATCTTCACATCGACTCCCTGCACCTTTCTCTTTGGCAAATACGAGTCAAAGCTAGCGTTCCCTGGGCGACTGCCGGATGCCTGCCGCCCAAGCGGCATTCTGGTATCCTTCCTTCGCTCAGGAATTGGTTTCAAGCTGGATATGCTGGAGAGAAGACTGCTGGTAGAGGGAAGGTCGGCAGACTCAAGCTCAAAGTCGGCCCTGGTCAACGACCTGCTATTCCTTGGCCGAGGCTGCCACCCATCTGCTGAACCGCACCTTCTGACCTCCATGTCACGTCTCTCCTCCTCAACATCTGAAGAGGATCTCTGCAAGCCTACTGACCTCACAGGAAGCCTCCTGGTCTGCACAACCCTGCCATTCGGCAGGTTTGGGCAGCCAACAACCGTCGAGCCACGTTGTCGCAGGCTCCCTGCAGAATCCGAATCATAACTCTGCCGCAATTCCCCAGGATCCGTCGTTATCAGGAGGCCATTGTCGTGGTCAATAGCATGCATCTTTTTTGGACCCACAACACGGCCACTTCTGCGTTCAGAGGGGGTTCGGCACCCGCTAGCTGACGAACTGCGCTGCCGCATACTTCTCACAGAATCCGAGTCGTAGCTCTGCCCCATGTCCCCTGACTCTGTCACCACAACGCCATTGTCCTTGCGAGAGCTGGGGCGCACCTTCTTTGCATCCACAGCAGTGCTGCTCTTGCAGTCGTGAGGGTTTGGACGGCCGACAATCGCCGAACTTCGTTGTCGCATGCTTCTAGCAGAATGCGGCACATAGTTCTGCTGCAAGTCTCCAGGGTCAGTCGCCACCAGGACACTACTGTCCCGGGAGCTGGGACGCATCTTCTTGGCACCCACAACACTGCTGCTTCTGCATTCATGGGGGGTCGTGCACCCGCTCATCGACGAGCTGCGCTGTCGCATGCTTCTCACAGAGTCTGAGTCACAGCTCTGCCGTAAACCAGCAGATTCTGTCAGCGCAATGCCTTTGTCCCTGCGTGAGCTGGGGTGAACCTGCTTTGCATCCACAACACTGCTGCTCTTGCCATCAGGAGGCTTTGAATGCCCAACAGCAGGCGAACTGCGTTGTGGCATACTCCTGGTACTCCTAGCAGAATGCAAATCGTAGTTCTGCTGCAAGCCTCCAGGGTCAGTCGCAACCAGAAAGTTACTGTCCCGACTGCTGTGACGCACCTTTTTCGCACCCGTAACACCGCTGCCTCGGCATTCACGGGGGGTTGGGCACCCACCTATAGACGAGCTGCGTTGCCGCACGCTCCTCACAGAGTCTGAGTCGTAGTTCTGCCCAAAGTCGACAGACCTCGTCATCACAATGCCATTGTCCTGGCATGAGCTGGGGAGCACTTTCTTTGCATCTGCAGCACTGCTGCCCTTGCCATCAGGCGGCTTTGAATACCCAACGGCAGCCGAACTGTGTTGTCGCACACTCCTGGCAGAATGCAATTTGTAGTTCTGCCCCAAATCACCAGGGCCGCTCGCCACCACACTGTTACTGTCCTGAGTACCAGGGCGTATCTTTTTTGCGCCCACAGCACTGCCACTTTTGTGGTCATGGGAGGTTGGGTACCCACTAATTGACGAGCTGCGTTGTCGCATGCTCCTCACCGAGTCTGCATCGTAGCTCTGACCCCCCGAGTCCCCAGACTCAACCATCGCATTGGAATTGTCCCGACGTGAGCTGGGGCGCACCTTCTTCACGTTCACAGCACTGCTGCTCTTGCCATCATGCGGCTTTGGATACCCAGCAACTGCCGAAACCTGCCGTTTTATGTTTCCTGCCGTGGTAACTTTGTAGCTCTGCCGCAAGTCCGCCTTGTTGGTGGTCAACATGAAGCTACTCTCCTGGGAGCTTGAGCGCCCTTTCTTTGCAGTTACCCTGCTGCTGCGTTCCAAACTGCTCCTGCGCTCAACACTGATCCTAGGCTCCACACCACTCTTTCGAGGGGTTGGGCAACCAGCACTTGCTGGGGCACTGTATTTTGAGCTCCCTTCAGAGCCCAAGCCATGGTTTTGTGGCAAATCGTCAGGTGCGGCTGTCAGAAACCCACTCTCCCGGCGTGAGCTTGGGCGCACCTTCTTAGCACCCACCATGCTGGTGCTCTTACCATCACATGATTTGGGGTGCCCAACCATCGCTGAACTCCTCTGCTTCATGGATCCTGTCGATTTTGCATCGCTACTCTGCTTAAAGTCCCCAGGGCGAGCTCCCACCACGTGTTTTTTGTCCCGATGCACACCTGGGCACAGTCTGTTTGTTCCTGATACACTGCTGCTGCTGCTGCGGCCATGCGCGCTAGTCCTCACTCTTGGGCTGGGTGCCGTACTAGAGACAGGGGGGTTCACAGGGGACGGCGAGTGAGTGCATTTGGCGCCTAGACTGCTGACGGGTGCATTTTTCAGTCCCACCATGCTGTCGGCATCAGAGTCCCAAGTGTCTAAGGAGGAGGTTCTGTAGAGGGATGTCTCACTCGAGGATGGTGTCAGTTTAGCTGCAGTGCACTGCTTCCCCAACGGCTTTCTTTGAGCAGAGCTGGCACGAGGCACACGAGGCGGACGCTTTTCCTGAAGGACAGTCTCTGTGCCAGAAAACGGCTGAACGTACTGCAAGTTCACTGACCACACCTGCACCACGACTTGCTTGAAGGCACACCCAATCACTCTGTTGTTGCCAGTGGACACGGCCATGTCCGCGACATGCTTCCATGGCACATCCACGATGTCTTGCACACGCGAGGGCTCCCAGCCCAGAACTTCCAGGCCATGTGGAAGAGCCTTCAGCAGTGTGTGCCCATCTGGCGAAAATGTTATGCCTCGCACACCGGCAATCGCTGCTCCAACGTTGTCGATTCTGTCAAAGTGGTCGAGGTCCCACAGCCTCACTGTCCGGTCAGCTGAAGCACTCGCCAGCATGAGCTCCCGTGGATGATATTGTAACCCTGTGATCTTCCCCAGGTGATCCTTGAAGCTGTGTAGCTCCTCACAAGTCCGCAGGTCCCAAAGCTGCAGGACACAAATGGAGCCACAGCCAAATGAGCATCAGCAACATGATCTTCCCAAAGGTGACAAGCTGCTGGCACGGCTGGTGGTTTCCGTGTCTTAGCCTTGGAATAGAACTGGAATTGACAGTAACAGCCTCTTGGGATACACAAGCACAAGTTTGATGCTGTTCATTGTGTGAGCATACTAGCTGAATGTCACTACACGAATAACCCAGCTTGTCACACGCGCGAGTTACACAGAATTGCTGCGTCGGCACACCTTGATTTCTCCATCTTCGCTCCCTGTAGCCAACCATTTGCCATCTGGGCTGAATGCGACACTCCCAACGCCCTTCACATGCCCTGTGAATGTGTGTATGCACATCTTGCCACGGATGTCCCACACTTTAACTGTTGTGTCTGCAGCTCCCGATGCGATCACCTCCCCTTGTCTTGGGTGAAATTCCACAGTGCGAATGTGTGTCCGGTGTCCAGTAAAGGATCGGTTGACTGTGAGGCAAATGCAAGCCCCATTCAGAATTGAAACTGCCAACATGGCAGTACGACAACCCCAGGCAAGGCAGCACACTGGCACATACATTTTCTGCTGGGCAGGCACATCGAGAGTCTCCATCAGGCACTTGAGAGTTTGCTAGTCTCCAACTCACACCCTCATCTACAGACCTTAACATACATCTGCACCCATGATCAGACAAAGTGACAGCATAACAACCCCACAAATATCTAGGGTCGCATGACGCCACCTGGGGGACATCGCTGGGCTTGACGCAGTAGGTTGGGGATTTAGGGGAATCCACGCGACAGGGAAGGCATTACGCGACCAAATATAACCCTTTTTATCTGCCGGTGTGAAGCATTGCTGTGCAAACTGTTACAAGAGACAAATCTTTTGTTGTTGCATTCACAAGATTGCAACGAATACGGATATGACATGGGTACAAAAGCACCCAACAGGCCACCACCACACACACCTCTCCCTTGTTCAACGTCCCACAACTTCACAGACCCTCCAGCAGAGCCTGCCGCCACAAATTCTTCGCTTCCATCAAAGGCAACGGCCTCCACGGCACCCTGATGTCCCGACAGGCTCTACAGCAGCACGGCAACACATCAACCCTCAACTCTCATTGTGCACCAAGTCCCCAGTCAAAGACCTCCACCAAGTCCAACATTTGAAGGACTGATGGCAGGACTGGACGATCTGGTGATGGTCCATCGACATCGCTGCCACTGCAGAAGAGCCAACACTAATCAAATGACACAATAACAAAACTTCCAACACAAGGACCTTCACTCAGCAGCGATACAGATGTGCATACGACTGACTCGTCCAAAAGAAGTCAACTCACCGCTCGAGCTTTATTGTGTCCAATCGCCCACACATTTACTTTTCTGTCGTCCCCTCCAGTCACCAGAAGGTCCCCCGTGCGCCTTCCGATCTTCACGCAGTTCACATTGGAACCGTGTGCAGAAAATTCCTCTGCACAGAAGGGCGAGATGATGCAGGTCAGCCGCCACACTCGGGACAATTGCAAACAAGGCCAGCGTCGTGGCCCGCGACACACACAGTCCAGCACAGCATCCAGCCCACGAGCTTCCTTGCCAAAAATACATATCGTCGGGTCCTATATTCGTAGCCCCGCGGATACCGTGTGTACGACATGTATGCTCAGAGGAGGCAAGCCACAGGGTTGGTGCGCGCAAGACGCCACCTCCTGTGCGCGCAGACCAAGCCTCGATCAAAGTCCAGGCTCCCGGGGACTCAACCAACGCAAGCCCGCTGCGGCGTCCCGACAACCCGGGCTTTCTGCGAACGGGGACCACTCCTCTGAACCCGCTCGGCGTGGCTCCCCAGGCGCCTGCATGGTCCTCTCCAAAGCGCCATTACCTCACACACCGGTTCCGCGGCCCCGAGGCCCTCCCCGCCTTCCCTATCGCAACGAGAGCGCCGGGACATTCACGCCCACGGCGTCGCCTCCACCCTGTCCCGCCAGGACGCGGGCTTCCATCGTTCCTAGCTCGTCCGCTTCCCATTCCAAGAGACGCGCCACACTCCCGCCACACGCCATC